TTTTTTTTTTTTTTTTTTTTTAATTCAAATAAGTACTTTTGATCTACGCAGATTAACAGGAACAAGGACATCACAGACGAGGTGAACCGGAAATCGCGTCTGCGCAGGTCTACAACATTTACTGACACAGCCACTGACTCTGACATGACGTATAATTACGATTATGGGGACCTAAGTAAGTGATCTTATAGGCCTACTTATTTTGACCAACATTTTTACTATTTATTTTCAAATTTTCATTTCTTCATTTATATTAGCTTCATGATGTAGAAAGTCTTTGTATAGCAGTTACAACATATATATAAAGCCTCGGAATAATTCCAAATTGATAATGAGGCGATTAACACATAGCTGAAACTACCACAGTATAGGGCCTACAGCTGTGGGAGGCAAATCATTCGAAGATGTGCTGTCATTCTGTATACTTTCCCGTATGTCGATCTTATTTCTTCTGGTTTTGTACCATAATGAAACGGGTGACTAACATACATGTAGCAGTACTTGCCGGTTTTAACCACGCAAACTTTAACAGACACATTTACCAACACACGCTCCTAACAATACTACCACATCAGTTACGCACGTGCGTAACTGATACACGATGCACGAATACAAAGGCTACACCCATTTACATCTCTTAATTTGTTATTACTACCCCTCACTGTAACGATGTAGGGAAGTAACGGTAGAGGGGAGTAACGATGTGGGGAAGTAACGGTGGAGGGGAGTAACGAGGTGGGGAAGTAACGGTGGAGGGGAGTAAGGATGTGGGGAGGTAACGGTAGAGGGGAGTAAGGATGTGGGGAAGTAACGGTAGAGGGGAGTAAGGATGTGGGGAAGTAACGGAAGAGGGGAGTAAGGATGTAGGGAAATAACGGTAGAGGGGAGTAAGGATGTGTGGAAGTAACGGAAGAGGGGAGTAAGGATGTGGGGAAGTAACGGTAGAGGGGAGTAAGGATGTGGGGAAGTAACAGAAGAGGGGAGTAACGCTGCGGGGAAGTAACGGTGGAAGGGAGTAAGGATGCGGGCAGGTAACGGTATAGGGAAATACTGATGTGGAGAACTAACGGTGGAGAGGTGGGAGGATGCGGGAAGGTAACGATGCGAGAGATTCCGGGGCGCACCGATAGCTGGAAATATCATATTTTTTCTGGAGGTAGTAACGATACAGGGATGTGACTATGCGTGCTGTTATCGATGTGGGGGCATTACGAAACAGGAATTTCAAGAGGTGGCCCCAGTTTTAAAAAAACGTGTCTGTGATGACCGTACTGGAGATGTATAACAAAAATTCCACTAATTAGACCTAATTTGTGCATGTGCCCAAGACAATTGAAAACAACGATCGAGTCTTTTTTACCTTTGCCTAGATGCTACGGCTGTGAATGTCAAGTGGTCGAGTTCAGCCCAGATGAAGGCTGCCATAAAATTGTGTACTGATGCTGCTAAGGCTTCCAGTGCCTTCACGCCTTGTGAGAAGTCGGGCTTAGTGAACGTGCAGGAAATAGTAGACGGTTGCGTCGATGACATGAAGGTATGAATATAATGGAAGGCAATCGGTGAGAATACCGGCCAATTGAATGGAGCATAAATGTATATTCTGTACGCAGAATGATTAAATGAGGGTTATGGTATTTTCTATTTTCTATCCTGTATAAATGTATATGTATTGGTATTTTGAAGGCCAATTTTTCACCCAAACAAAACCGATTTCTGAATGTTGGCACAGTGTATTGGACTTTGTAATGCCAAAATATATATATCTGTACCTTGTATAAAAAGTGATAGGGAGCGGTTAAAATGTATCACTACGAAAATCAGAAGACTCAAAACGTCATATACACATGTATCGCACAGTACAGGGTATGTACGAAAACACGACCAATTTAGTCACAGCGCATGAATATTCTAAAAACCCTCGGTATAATTCACTGGTAATCCCCCTACCTGATTAAGTCTGATTAAGAATATCGACTGTCACTGGCGCCTTTGGCTTACTGGCGACCTGTATTTCAGATCACCAATGGAGACAAGACCTACCTTGACTCTGTAGCCAGTACCTTTGACACCATTTGCCAGGAGGAGATTTTGAAGGACCCAAAATACTACACAGCACAACCAGATGGTATTTTTTTTACACTTTTTTGTTCCGTTTATCATATTAAAAATATGTTTCACTGGAAATCCATGTTTGTGACAATCGCTTACCTATAGAATATGAAACTTGGTTGAGAAATCATGCATATTCCCTTTGTTCCAGAAGCGAGCGATCCAACGGTGACCTGGGGAACTACAGGTTGGCCTTCATTCAGTGCAACTTAAAATCAGGGCACATATGCGAGAAATTTGAACTTAAAAGTATCCGAAACCGTAGGCCTATCAATCATAGTTATGCATATGTCACAGTCATCGATGTTAGCTTTCCGTGTCAAATTGATAATAATAATGAATAATTTATAGAAAGAGGTTTTGCATCGACGTTGCCTCCGTTCAGATGCTTTGTATCGACGTCACTTCTTGGCAGATGCTTTGCATCTACGTCACTCTCTGTCAGAGGCTTTGCATTGACGTCACTCCCATCACTTCCTGGAGTCGGTAGCAGACGCCGTGACCTGCAGTTCAAAGCAGCAGCGTAGCGAACTTTTGGTTTTCAACCAGAAATTTCACTTTTTGATTTCACACAATAGCCCCCCTCAAAAAAAAACAAAAAAAAAACCTAAATCCGAGTTTAAATACACTATGTCTAAAAACGAGACGTACTTTTGTATTTCAGGTACAATGGGAATACCATCGTTCATATCAAATATGTGCTCCACTCCATGTAAAAACGGGACTTGTGTCAACGGCGCCTGCGTATGTGACAAGAACTGCGTCGGCGATGACTGCTCTGTGGACACGACAAAACCGCCGATAGCGTTTGGTTTGACAAGGTGACGTATATAAAGGACTAAAACCATTAGACACAAATGGGCGTTGCTGTTACGTCGTCAAATCGAATGAGCAAATTATCTTTGATGTATTTATGATGTGATAATATTATCTCATAATAGCACTTATTTTGGCATTCCCTTAACGGAAAGGGTAAGTAAAATAAGTTATCGAACCCCTTTAAATTTTCTAGCGAATGTGAACTTTGTGCGATCAAAATAAATTTACATTTCTATCCCAAGTAATGGAATATCAAGGAAGTTTTTTTTTTTAACTGCTGTATTAAAACTAAATTATGAGATGATTAATGTAATAATGATAAGAATATCGAACCTTTCAGATCGGATGCCTGTGATATTCGAACGCGTCCGTGTCGTCTAGTCTTCCTTGTCATGGGGAATGTAGCAGATACGCCGGGTCTTTGGTGTCGAGTGAAGGAAAGAGTAAACTTGGTGCGTCTGGGTCTGTTCCCAAATAATATGATACGCTTAACCAGCTTTAACCATTCCAACTCTTATATGTGACGTTGTATTCGCCCTTGGAATGCATAGTTTAGATCTCTGTTCAAAGAAATCTTCATATATTTATCCATATATAAGCAAATAAGATAACAACCTCCGCCAAGGAAGGATTTTTTCGACGTTGGTTTGTTTGGTTTGTCTGTCTCTATGCGTCATCTCTGAGCAACATCTCGGAACATGTTATAGGTGGATTTTGATGAGTTTTTCAGAAAATGTTAAGATAATTAGCAACTATAAGATATTATTATTTTTTTTTTTTTTTTTGGAGTGGGGAGAGGGGTCAGATCATTCTCTATTTACCACACATGTAACAGACAAATGTGTGGATTTGTTTTTCAGGACCAGGTGTAATAGAACTGACAAATTTTTGTTACTGACACCAGCTTATATGCTATGGTTAAAGCAAGCTTTCAGTGGATTTCATGTATCTTTTTAAATTAAAAATATAATATTAAAATAGTCACATCGTTATATTCATAGGGAATTCGCCATACTTGACCATCGTTTTTGCTATATAATAATAATAAGAATAATAATAAAATGTTTTAAACTGTTTTTAGGGTCCTTTCGGCGGTGTCCTTAGAATGTTTAGGACCAAAGGACACTTCCAGAGCTATGCAGAGGTATCCTGTGAGATTCCAGAATCTCCCGTACACAAAGGTCAGTTCAATCACTTTAAACAATCCCTGGTGTCAACGTTTTCACTGCCATACTGCAGAATGTTTCCCAGCTTTGTGTCGAAACAGTAGTTTGCTTTGTGTTTGAAAATTACACCCCATTTCCATAGATCTTTAGATCGATCTATCCCTATGGGCAGTCTCACTATATTACTCTCAGCTTGGCCGTCTTAAGCGTCTGTCCCGCCTACTAAAAGCTGTAAGGGGGTAATTAACTATGGTGCCCGCTCGACTGACTGCAATTTAGCGTGAACCCCCAGGGAGTTAGGTCGATCTAAAACTTAATCTTTATATCGATCTAAATCTCTGGGAAAGCACCCTTAGACCTACTAAACTTGTTAAACATAAACCAGTACAAGCATGCGTTAACGTACCGTCGACGTTTCGTTTGTATTTATTAATAATACCTGGCTTCCATACTGTTATATATGTTACAAGCGTAGTTACATATAGGTCTATAGGTACTTCTGGGTCCCTCCAATTTAAATATGAGTTGAGTATGAGTATTTTAGGCAAGGAAATACATATTACCTCACCCTTTTATTTATTTAGTTATTTAACAACTTCGGACAAACTGAATATATTTATCAAGGCATGTCCTAACTAGATGCAGTGGAAAATTTTCATGTACACAGGCGTAAAATGTTTTACCACGGGCTTTAAAGAAATTGACTGAAGAAATCACCACTGTGGATTGAACTGTTGTCTTTCTTGTTTCGTTTTTGAGAATTTTTTCCCTCTTTTGATCTTTGAAAATATTTTGAGTAGGATTGAAGACCTCTTCTACCTACCAGATATCGGTCTCCAGTGACGGCACCACGTGGAGCAGTGACGTCACGTTTGTTGTCTATGACTCACTGTGTCAGATATGTGGTGCTGATGGGACATGCACACTGAAGGTAAACCGTTTCCACTCTTTTGCACTCCATACTGCAGGTATGAGACCCTGCTTAACCCTGTTTATCCCACGTTTTTGAACCAATATCAATACATAAATGTATGGACCCTCCAGCCCCAAGGTGTCATAAACATAGATTGTGGCAGCGCCACAGTTGTGTGAATTTGGTTTAAAATTTATCTTAAAAGTACTTTTTAAAAATAATATTGTTAAAAATTTTGCCATGAACAATTTTTGACAGTAAGACTCTTACTAAGAGGTATTGAATGACATTTTAATGGATTTTTCAGTCCCGGACCTGCAGTATAAATGGCAAGTGTTATGCTGCCGGGGAACACAATCCTGTCAATAGAGGGAGTATGTGTATACCCTCCCTGACAGCCTCCGATTGGTCATCAAGTAAGACACATGCTCTGTAACCTCCCCCCCCCCCCCCCCCTTTTACACTGGATAGCGTCTTTTCTGCGTCCTTTGTGACACCATTAAACTGGCATCGCCGTGGTTGTAGAAAAGAGACACAAGCTTTGGTTGCAGAAATAGGAGGTCAATGATTGGCCAGTTTTCGGCACGTAAAGTATTTTTTACTCTCAAAGGCGGCCGTATTACGGGACGCAGAAAGGACGCAGTCCTGGGTAAAGGGGGCTTAATGAACACATGTACGAACACTGGCACTCCATAAAATTAATTGTTTGTTGGTTTTACATTATGATTATACATGAATATCCTCTCTATTTTTGATAAAAGTTTAGAATTGAGTAATAGTAAAAAGAGGAATACGAGTATTATTAAACTTGCAATAAGACAAAAATGTTTTAAACATGATTGAATGTGACATATCTATTCCAGCTTAAACTACCGTGATGTTCGCACGCGAAATTCAACGGTAACCAATAACAAGGGGAAAATACAAACGTGTGACAAGAACTCACTTAGAGAAACAATTTCAATTATTGAAATAGCTTTGGTTTGCGTCTTATATAAAACAGTATGGTTATTAAATGCTCCGCATGCAGCTTTTAAAGGTCGTCAACACAACTTGTGTGCCTTAATGAAGGAGGTCCTTCATTGAAGGTGTAATGAACAATGAACTTTGATGGCTGGAGAAAAGCCACTGATTGTCTGAAATATCTAATGTTGTCTTAAATGAGTAGAATTATTGATGAGATTAAAATTTGCATTCAACCTCCCTTTTTTTTGCATATTTGGTTCATGCTTCACTTCTGTTTAAAATGAATAAATTCACGATGCAGTCTAAATATATATTGTCTGTTGTTTTCTAATGCAAGAAACAGGTTATATAAACTAAACAAATATTTTGAATTTTCATAGACAGATGCTTCAATTGCTGCTGAATAAGAAAGTATATTAAATGTCCAAACTTTTCATTTTGCACAATTTCAATTCGAAATGATAAATTTCTTTTAAACAGGAAATACTAAGTCAATTTTAATGAAATGACATTTTCCAATGAAACAAATAATCAGAGTTCTTTAATTTTGAACCCCCCAAAAAAACCTGGATGAGTGGTTAGCAACCAAGTATGTCAGCTCTCATGGCAATGTAGGCGTACCATTTCATTGGCAGGATGCGGACAAAGCGTGCTTGGATATGAGGCACTAGATCATGCCTAACGATGGTATTACGGTCCGAGTTGCCAGAAAAGTGCTGAAATAGTGGGCAACAGACATTTAAAATACATGAAATAAGAATCTCCTGTAAACAATTGTAATATCATTTCGGACGCCTAATTGTTGAGCATTAATCTGAACCGTTACGCCACAATATATCGAACCATTGTTTAACATTATAACAAATTCCCAAAAATACACAAAATCGTTTACTTCCCTCAATTAAGGAACTCTTCAATACCTTATCTTTTCCGTCCCCATCTTGATAGGTAGTCCATGTAGACCCAGAAACGCTGTACTGCAGTTTGTATTCAGTTACCCAATTGTTGTAGCGATCGGCACGCCCCATAGTCAAGACGGCGGTTATAACTCTTATTGTGCCCAGGTCAAATTGAATCCATTGGTTCTGATTCTTAAGTTGCGCAGCCGCTGGTACCCATGCCCATGTAGAATTCAGATTGATCGCGTATTGTGACCCAGATGAGTAGACGCTGGACGCTGTTATGGCTTTTTTTGGGATAGGGTCGCTTCCGAACACGAGACGATGGCTGCACGCTGCAAGGTGAGCATGTGTTTGAATATATATATGTAAAGACATTCCTATGGATGTAAGCTAAGATTACTGAGAATTCAGCGATCAATCTTCGAACAATAGACACCTACACTGTATATGTTTTGTAGAAGAGCTGCCTTTCTAAACATACCAAAATCTATCTGTTTAAGTTTTAAATTTAAAAAAAATCAATAAAATTGTATTTCCACTACAGTTCCGCGTGTTTTATTATCTTACCTGCTTGACACTTGATGCTCAAATCCACCAGGTCATAGTATATCTCCATGGCCGCTCTTAACAACATCACATAGGTCAAGTCCCTTTTAATCAACCTGAGATTTGCCTCCAGGGAAAGAACCTCGTCGGGGCAATAGCGCGCAATATGCTTGAGTAACGCGTGATTCAGAGAGCGAATTTCGTACAATTTTCCGCGAGCCAGTGCCTCGCGGTAATTGTTGCGGAAATAGCCTTTCGGGACAGCCGACCATGCGAAGTGGACACAGGCGAGGAAAGTGAGAAAGAACAAAAACGGGAAACAGCAGAACGCCTTCATGACTCCCTCTTGGTATTAGGTAGAAGGCAAGTCAAGGGAACTTACAATCTGCCTGCCTGTTGCGGTGAATTATTATTAATATATATATCCATCAGCATGTTTTTCTTAAAAGATAATAATCTGTATTCCCTTACAACTGCGTGGCCTGTCAATTATTTTTGTCGTGGTTGTGTAAAACTAGAACCTCTGATAGAATAAAAGATCAAGTTCAAGGCATATGCATGGAAATGAATGGAAATACAAAGATAAGTAAGCGAAAGACTAACAAGCCAACAACCAAGAAAGAAAGAAAGAAAAAAGAGAGAATGAATGACTAAAAGATAGGAAGGAGAAAAGAAAGAAGTGAGAGTGGGTGTAATAGATTACATACTAGCACTAGTACATTTTATATACACCGTGAAACATTAGGGATGCATCCATGTATCATTTCAACCTCTTTCGACTGCTGTTCAAAATTTTTCAAAGAAATAAAAAAAAGAAATTGAACAAGAAAATCCTTGCCAAATTTTAGCAGTATTTTGTAATTAAATTGTTCAAAACTTATTTTAATAATGTGTTAATAACTCGTGTAATTGCCTTAATGCTGAACCCTTCGAGCATATTCAAGGCGAAAGCGGAAAGATATAGAATAAAGGTGAAAATACTAGAGCTTGAAGGGAAGACTGAAAGATAAATAGGAAAAGGAATGCACATGCCTACGAATTGCCCGATATTATTTCAACAGCATATTTATTTTTGTGTGATCAGGGGCAAATATTATGACTGACCGATTGTCATTTTTTGTTGATACATGAAACCCTCCCACAAGATTACTGCCACACTCCTTACTGACTTTCCTTATGAAAATTGTTTCATATTGTCCAACTCAGCAACTGAACAATTGACAACACTTGTTAACACACACACCTCGTCTCCGTTAAATGATCAAGTTTCTTCGAAACTGTGTAGGATCTATGGTTGCATGTTGGAGGTATCATATGATCTATTCTACAATGATAATTAGATCTGAAAAGTTAGTGTCTGGTTTAGGAGTGTGAACAATGTAAATTCGATAAACCTTCAAAACAACACCTCGGCATTCAGCGTTGCCATATGTCTTACCATTATTCAATTTTGTAACATTTTGCACGCCGTAGGTTCTTATCCACATTAGTACTGCATGTTAAACGACGAGCGTTCCCAGTCCACATTGTATTACATGTTAAACGACAAGCCTTTCCGGGTCCGCAGCTTGAGTGAAATGCTCTTTGTGTGTGTGTGTGTGTGTGTGGGGGAGGTGGGGGGGGGGACGTCTGTCTGATGGAGATGGTGAAAAGAAAAGACTTATATAAATATCTCCATACAAAATATTTTATATAATATTGCCCCTCGACCCTCTCTCCTCTGCATTTTATATGACCATTTTGACAAATAACGTGTGCTGGCCAGGCGCCCGTAGAAAGAAAGAACCGAGTGTTAATCTAAGGCTGCATTCCCACAGATCTGTATCGACCTAACTCTCAGGGGGTTCACGCTAAATTGCTGTCAGCCGAGCGCACAGTGACACGGTAGTTAATTACCCCCTTACAGCTTTAAATAGGCGGGACAGACATTTAAGCCGGCTAAGCTAACAGTAATCTAGTGAGACTCCCCACGGGGATAGATTGATCTTAAAGCTGTGGGAATGCAGTCTAATATACAGGGTGCAAACGTTTACTTGGTGAAGAATACTGCATGATGTTGATTCAAGGAATAGATAGAGCGGTACGTTTATGTTGCAAAAGGAAATAACTAAGGAATAAATAAATAAACAATGGAAATACTGGGAAATTTGAGCATTTTCCGAGGTATATCCTATCCAAATTTTTTGACAAATTTATATTGTACAAACCCGTTATATAGTTCCAAGTTTTCTATTTTTCACTAAATTTCACTCGCAACGGTAACCAGTACCTCCAATTACTGATTAAAGTGGAATTGTCGAAACGCCCAGGATAATATTCTGTGATTAATTTAGCTCCATAGAGCATCGAGGGCAGTTTTAATTTTAAAAAATGATATCCACAACAGGAGATAAATTGTGTGGAAAGTTGGCGCTCCCTCCGCCAACTCTTTCCTCGAAATGTTGTAAAAGGAGCATGCAAGAGATAAGATGAATTCAACATGAGTTGTTCATTTCTAGATCCTGGACGTGTAGGTTGTTGAATGTATCCAATTTATCTTTTTCATCGACACCCTGCGTTTCAGAGACAGCTAGAAACTAACCTATCCTACCAATTAGCTATTACAGTTGTACAAGTTTATTTTTCTGTGATCAGGAATGTGTTGACGACATTTTGTGAGAAGTATATATCTACTGTAGCATTTTTATCAGTATATGTATGTGTACATTGTCGGTGAATTGTGGATGTCATTTGAATCCTGGTCCTCATTCGTTTGTATTTTAGGATTTTGATGGCGCTTTTAACGAAACGACACGGGCATGTTGGTTAATATCTCAGAAGCTCAGGGTGCTTTACTAATACATGTGCCTTCTCGCAGATTGATTTTCACTAGACTGATATTTCTGTGGCCAAATTCAAGGTATGATTCTCTGCTATGGAGAAAAATGCACATGATTAATGTATGGCCCTTACACTCACTTGCGGCTATGGTAGGTTGTGGATCGGTGAAAGGGTAACTATTTTTGAGCCCAATTTGGTCTCGGAGTCAGAGTGTGTTCTGTCCCGGGACGGCTTGTCAGATTGTATATTTAAAATTGAGATCTGGAAAATTCCGATAATTAGGCAAAGATCTGCAGTAGTTTACAAGTAAACATGGGATAGCATTTAAATGCCGAAAATAACACTTAATGTATAATATAACGTTACTCTTGTGTATTTATTTTCCTTTAAATATCCGTTCATGCGCCCGACGTTCAATAGGGAGTCAAAAACATATCACCTGATGAATCGACTTAACGCCAGGGGGAGGTGTGTCAATCAGTTAAGCTGATTGCACTCAGCGGTTCCCCAAAATGTTGAATTGATCCACGTAGACTAATGGTGTCTATGAGAAAGGGGTCATAATGATGCATTTTGGTCCCACTTTCATATTACATGCTAAACATGCTGTGTGACCAGTATTACATATGAAGTCAGAATCAGACTATAGTCTCTCATCAGCTCCCTGATAGTAGAGTTCTCATTAACTCCTCTAGCTCCTCAATTTCTTGTTTAATCTGAGGCTCGGTTTTAATCTTTTCTTCCTGAAGAGAAAGAAAAAAGAGAAGATATCATTCAGACCAAACAGTAAAGCTGTAGTATGTGGTGGTAGCAGTAAACTGCTGCAGGAAGTATTTCTGTTTAAAAATAAAAGAAAAAAATAAGAGAAAAAAAGTTGAAGCTACAGTATACCAATGTTTGTACTATGCACATTAATCACTGAACATGAGTATCAACATTTATTATACTCTTTGAGAGAAAGTAAGTTACCTGATTGTCCTGTATTGTTTCCCCTTTGGCCTTCTTTGCCTTCAGCTGTTCAATTTGATCCAATTTTTTGTGTAATGTTTTAAGTCTCTTCTCTGCAGGAGTCAGAGTTGAACCAGTCTGGGAGTCACTGGCGCCATCTGTGGCTTTGGTAACAGCTTGCTGATTGGACGGTAAAGGAAGACTGTTGACAATTTTCTGGTATTCATCCTCTGGTATATCTGTCCTGGAATGGCGATTATCACGGTAGCAAAAAGTCAGAGAAATTGCAACTTATGAAAACTCTATTGTACCTCAATGTTTTTCATGATACTACTCCTGGGCTGAGGTCCTTTTCACAACAAGGGAAATACTTTAGCAAAACAATTGATATCAGAAAACTGTGAGAGACTGACAACTTAAAACCATGGCCTTTGTGTAAGAAAGTCACCTAAATAAGGCAGCTGCATCCAAACTTGACAGGACCAATTAACTACTGTACCTTTATTTCTGGAGAAGTTGTAAAAAGTGTAACACACAGTGTGAAAAGGACAATAGTAAAACCTCAGGCCCACATCTACATATCACATCCTTTCAAATCCTCACCTTATTCCTGCTGCAAGGTCACTCAATATCCACAACTGTTCTCTCAATTTTCCAGCCTCCCCATGATCCTACCAGGACATAAAAATATTGGTGTGTCATTAGAATGACAGTGAGATAAAAAGTAAAAATAAAACTACGAAAAAACTAAGTATACAGTATATGGAAATCACAGAAAATAGCAACTTATAAAAATATAAAATGCATCCCTTTAAAGGGCTGCAATTAAAAATATTAGCAAGGGAGTAGCAGTTCTTTTAATGATCAGTTTAACTGCTTATTTTTTTATACTTCAATCTCATTGTTAAGGAGTTGGGGCTGAAAAGTGGATCACTCAATTTGCATTTCAAGCTACCAGTACTGCTGATCACTACTACTGGTACAGGCCCGTAGCCAGGGGGGCTTATTAAAACGAGCTCTTTGTCCGTGTAAAAGTGGGCGTAATGCTTTGTTCTACTACCACCCTTTTTGCTGGGAAAAGGTCCACTCTGGGTAAAATTTGATCTATGTACTTGAGGATTTTATGGTAAAAGGTCCACTTTTTCAGAAAACGAACCCCCCCCTCTGAAATTGCTGGCTACGGGCCTGTGGTAATATAACAGGAAGGCAACATTAAAACTGATCCCGCAGTGTCCAAAACCAAGTCAGCAAAATTATGTAAGTTTGTTATATTCACTGGTCATTTTCTTTCCATTTATTAATTTATTTATCCCCCTCCCTTTTTTTGGGGGGGTGGGGGGGGGGGGAGCAAAATTCTTTTACACTATAGTGCATGTAAGACCAGTACATGTATCAGTATGGCAGTACTGTACTTGTATGCTAAAAGGTTTTTGGCTAAACCCATGGCAGCATACCTTGTTTATCTTTGCTGTCTCTAGCTGTTGTTTAAGCAGAGGTATGAGGTCTGCTGGTGTGATACCTGGAGACGCATCTGGAACACCTGACCCCGAGGACCCTGAAGTTTTCTTGTTGTGACGTTTCTTGTTCTTTTTCGCCGATTTGGACTGGGGTGCATCTGTCAATTTTGATTTTAACAAAATAGATTTTGATCAATAAGGAGAAGAAAAATAATAAATAAAAAGATAATCAACCTTCATCATGTACATGTATGTACAACTACAGGTAAGTTGACAAGAAATTATCATTTAAAACGAGCTCTTTGTCCGTGTAAAAGTGGGCGTAATGTTTTGTTCTACTACTTCATGCCTCTATTACACGGTGAGTTTCGTAAAACTATTTCATTGTGATGTTTTCTTTCATATCAACACCTATGAGAACACAAGATAACTTTTTGTTTGATAGTCCTACCTGCCATAATCACTACAGCTTGGAAATAACTGCGTTTCGATACTAAACAACAAGATAAGCTAAAGCCAATTCTTTTATTCTGTTGGACAATTTACCATCCATATTCTTATACACATAGAAAATAAATATAACGCTGTTAACATATTTATTCTACATAACCTTTGAATACATTAAAATGCAATTTTTAAAAGAAATATTTATCCACCAAATTTGAGATATTACTGGTCACTCTTCGGTTACATCGATACAGTCTTGTTTTCATTATTGCGTTAAAGCTCCGTAGCACGTGAAAATGTTTTTGTAAAGCGTTAAATTCCAGGTTAACAGGGAGAATGTGAAACTGAGAAACTGGTAGTGATAGGACAACTGTGAGCTGAACCTGCCCAAAGGTAAAATATTTCCATGACCTTCGATGTACATGAGAAAGCGGTGTTCATTTACGCATCATTTTATTTTGGATATTTTTTATGTCGATGCTTCAACCTCTGAATCTGAATCTGAATAGGTTAACATCGAAGTGACTGTTAAGGGCAGACTCCTATTATATGTATTTTTTGTACTATTCTCTTTTCTCTTAGTCTTATAATATGTATTATTTGTATTGTTCTCCCTTTACTCTGTATGCGTATGATGCGTATCGTTTGATATGAATATATAATGTAGCGGTGTAACCGACACATTTGTTTATTTATGACCTTATTCTCAGTTTTGATATCTCTTGTATATTTTTAGTACAGCAATTATTTGACAAACTTAAATTATAATACTAATGAATTAAGTATTACAGAATTTACAGACCACAGAAACCAAAACCTTCAAGCATTCCTTGTGTCTCATTGCCATCTATTTGGTTTCAATGTGGGCTTCATTAGATGAAAATTTATTGATTTGTGTTTATTTATTCAATTTTCTTTTAACCATTTGTGTGAACCACTATTACACTTACTTTAATGCTACACCAAGAGAAGTAGACATTTCACACTTTAAATTTTTGTATAATTTTTTTAATTTGTCATTAATTTTTTTATAACTTAGGCTAGATGTAAATCATGGAAGGAACTGTAACAACAGTAGGACTTAATGAGGAACCAGAGTGGTGCGAAGGTTGCCAGGCTCTACGTAGGGTGTGTTGTTTTACTTCTCTCTCTCTCTCTCTCTCTCTCTCTCTCTCTCTCTCTCTCTCTCTCAAAAATTAATTTCTAAAATGATTATATTTTATCTTTATTATTATTTTTATTTCATAAAAATTAATACAAAACATTGTAATCATAGACAAAGACGCCTTTCAAACACCCACACAGTTAAAAAATACAGTTACTGAAAAAAATGATTTTCAAAATTTGACGTCTGTACATGTTTTTATGTTGCAGGAATTGACACAGCTACAGAGTGAACATGAGTTGAATTATACCACTTTAAAACAGAAGATAATCTCTACAGAGTAAGTATTAATACATATCAACTGACAATACTTCATCCAGACTGTTTACCTAAGACTCTCTAGCAACACTAATATTAATTTGAAAAGTATGTTTTTATCAAATTTAAGATACAGAACTCCATAAGTGGATAATCTTTCCCCCTAGTGATTGCCCCATACTCTAACATTTTGTAACTATTATTTAGCACTAGTCTCTCTTACTGGTGAACCTTATAAAATTACACTTACTAATCTGAATCAGGATTAACATGATCAAGATAAAATTCATAGACAGTGGGAAAGTTAAATCTAAAATAATTATTTTAGTGTTTAATGTTCCATTACAGCAACCATTTGCACAGTTCATCTCAGATTGTTTATTGACATTATTTCCTTTTCCAGTTTGCTGATCAAGAAGTTCAGTTCCAAGTGTCAAGATATCCTTTTTCTGTTATATTTTATTTGATCTTATTATATACAGCACATAATCTTTTAACACTGGTTGTTAAGAATGTGTAAAGAAAGATATTCTCATTGATAGATATAATAATTATAAATAACAACAAACTTCATAACTTTGTAGTGTTTAGCTTGGAACAGTTCATGAAAGTGCAGTTTTTGGAACTATCTAGAATAGTTTTACTTGTACAAAAATATGGTGGCTTTAAGGGAACAGTAGGAACACTTTATCTATTATCTTAGTTCACACATGTTCTTTATTTAGCTACAGTGGCCACAGTCATCCTAAATGATCTGAAAAGATGAAGGGAGATGTTTAACTAGATGCAAAGAGTAGTGAGGTGTAGTATGTCAAATCAGTATAAGTATAGGATTTTAGAATAGGAAATGATAGCATGTGGTATACTTTAGTAAAGTCATCTTGAGGGTATTTGAAATTAGTGAATAATTACCATAAATCTGGCACTTCTATATGACCTTGACTCCTGCGGCACAGTATGAGGCTCAGGGCAGAAAGCTGGAAGAGGTCTCCAAGTTACTGGAGACATATCAAAGGTAGGTATTGGAGGATTTTTTTTAGGTGGGGGATTGAAGACAGGTCCCATAGGTGTGTGCACTTTACAATTTTCATCATCATCATCACCATCATCGCTCTGTTCCATTCTTGTCTTTATGATTTTAGATTGAAGCTTTGGTGACTATTATGCAATATATTGATCCATTTACGTTCAGTCAGTGAGGCAGCCGTGCAGTTGTAGCGTCAATAAATCATTTAATTAGAGAGAATGAAATGTGTTATACCACATTCCAATAGATATACCATGGATCTATATAGATTGAACCATCCCAACATATTCAACTAAAAATCATATCTATAGAAATTTAATGGAATAGAACCTAGCTGTTTGTGGATTTAATGGAGGCAGTGAAATATGGAGTATTATGATAAAAACTATGTATGATTTAAAACTGTTAGAGGAATTTAGCATGGCAAGTTTGAAAACAAAAATCATATTTTATATTATTATATATTTTGGTTTCCAGAGACTGTGGCAGCCTGGAAGCCAGACTGATGACTTCATTACAGGAACTGGAGCCACTGAAAGAGGTAAGTGGGTTGTGGTATTGTATATTGGGATAATTCAAACTTTTGGAGGTATTATAAAGTGGGTTTTGGTATGGTATTGTGATAACGTAAACCTTGGAAAGAAGTATTAAGTGGGTTTTGGTATGGTATATTGTAATAATTCAAACTTTTGGAGGTATTATGAAGTGGGTTTTGGTATGGTATATTGTGATAAAGTAAACCTCCGTTAGAAGTAAGTGGGTTTTGGTGTCATATTGTTATTAATAATGTAAACTTCTGAAAGTATTAAGTGGGTTTTGGTGTTGTATTGTGGTAACATAAACCTTGCAAAAAGTGAATAATGATTTTGTTGCTGTGATAATATAACTTTCAAACTGTAAAAGATGTAAGTGGATATTGTCGTCCTTACCACGGGTACATACTGTAATGATAACCAGTGAAAGAAGCTAGTGGCTATTGTTATTGTCACTGTAAAGTAATAATGTTAAACAAAAACAAAAAAAAAACAAAAAAAAAACAAAAAAAAAAAAGTGGATATTGTTACTGTGACTGTGATATTGTTATCCCCTGAAAGATGTGAGTGAATAATGCCATTGTGATAATGCAGAGTTAATGACAGCTAAAATATCTCTATAATGTTAATCCTTAAAGCAAGTATATGTATATATATATAATGAGTTGACATTTTTAAAAAGGCACTCATTTAGCAATATTTTTTTAAATCATTCTAGGCTAGGACAAGGCTGGAGAAAAGTAAAGCAAAACTGGAGAAAGAAGTTCAGAATCTGCGAGACAAATTATCAGCTGCTGAGGTAATATATTGTAAATATGTTGATGAAAGCAAAATAATTTGATACTGCTCTGTTCATTCTAGTATTTAATATTAAAAGGGCCTATTAACAAGCAGCTGATGAGTCTTCAGTGAAAAAAAAAAACATTGCAGAATCTGATGAAGTAATTCATAAAAAGCTTTTTCCAGAAAGGACAAGGCTGGGTTTCAGAATTGATGGAAAATTAATGGGTTAAGCATATAGTCTAGTATGTAAAACATTTTTTTCAGGAAATGATGTTTTCTTTGATTTTGAATTTTAATGTAGTTCTCAAAAATATTTTATGCCTTTTTAACTCATTTGTAATTTAAACAATTTTTTTTATCTGAAGTTACTGAAACATTTAACTTTTCATTGGAAATAAAATATAATCATTATTCTCATTCTGTAGGTTACATGTAGGCAGTTCTCCCAAGCAAACGAAGAGTTGATGAAACAACAGAAAGGGGCAGCTGAGGGAGACCAAAAAACCACCAATAAGAAAATCCAGATTTTGGAATCAAGGTAAGCAGATCTAGAGATATGGCATATTGTACAGATTATTAGTAAGATATGACAAAGAAAATTTATCTAAGAATTCTTGACTTGTTATATTGAGAGTAGCAGTTTCTGGAAGAGGAGGGGGGTCTTTCTGGCTTTTGCTTTTATCAGGAAAATATAGAATTACATGATGCAAGTGCTTGGTTATTTCATGATAAATTATAGAATTTATTTATTTAAAGTATATGAAAGAAAATGTATCAATTTTTTTTCTTTAGCATTAAGAAGAAAGATGAGACCATAAGCAAGATAAAAGGTATGTAATATGAATTTTTTATGTGCTTAAAAACTTACACAGTATATAAAAGCATTAAGAGGCACATGAAAGCTTACAGGATTTTCATTGTGTCACAGTCAAGTGAGGTTCCACATCTTATTATCCTTGATAGTAAAGTTGAAACAAATTGGTTCCTACTGTTCTTGCACCGCATCTCATGGTACTTCACGTTGTTCATGTAGCTTAATATCTATTTAATCGTGGTCTCAGAGTCTCAGAGATTTGGCTGGAACCCCACAGTGCATTTTCATATTAGCATAACACTATATTCAGTAACTGTTGTGTATTCATATGAATCAGAATCAATCACATTTAAATTATAATACTTGTCAATGATAAAAATATGCATTCCTGAGTGTATTCCATCTTGCTTTATGGTTATTGCTGGAGATATATATGAAAGAGAGTTGCAGTAGGTAGACCTTGATGTAAGCAAAGATTGTAGCACAGTTGGTGTGGGAGACTTCATCAATGTTTTAGTAAAGACCCAAGGTTTCATGTGCTAAACATACATGTTCTTGATATTTTTTATATCTGCCTATCTGCGGATAAAGTACTAAGTTAACATGAATGTAGACTTGATGTCTTGTGCAAGTCAAGACCTGTGGAAAGCTGGCACAACCAGTTTTCCCACCCGGCAGACATTCAGTCAAGCTACTTTTCAAGATGGCTGGATTAGGTCCAGCAACTTATTTTTCTAAGAGGCAAGCACTGGGCATGACTATTTGTGAAAAACTTGTGGGCAATGGTCTTATAATGTGGATGAGCTATTGCAAAGAATTCAGTCTTCTCTTCACCCTTGTGTTAGGAATGTAAAATTCAGTTTGTCTAAAACAGAAAGTCTGACAATATCCCCTCAGTTGTCAGCCAATTCCTGACTGTGAGCACAGCAATTTAAAATGCTATCTCACATTCTCTGTTAAAGCCTTCAGCTTTTTAAACTGTTTCTGCTGTTTAACATGGTGGGTGAGGGTGCACGTCAGCCATATTGCCATACACACGGCTAAAGTGGTGCCAATAATGATGCTTTCTAAAATATAGTCCGGCATGACAAACACTTTCACAACCGCCAATGCCTCATTTGCTAGGTCTGCTGTCTTACACACATAATCCCCAGAATCTGCAAGTTTGGTGTTGCGAATGATGAGACGGCCATCTTGGAATGTCTGAATATGTGAGGTGTTGTCCCCTGGTGAGATGAGTGTATCGTTATATCCGTCTGGGTCAAATGGCATGCGCCTGTACCACCTCAAGGTCACATTCTCGGGCCCGTGAAAGTTGCATTTTATGTGGTATTCAGCAGTGCCGTTTTCTATAGGGTTTTTCCGGGGACATGTTGTCAGGTTCTTGAAATATTCCGGCCAGTCATAATGACACTGTGCAGAGCATGATGGGATTGCCGTCATGGCTATCAGTACAAGACCCAGCAAAAGTCTTATTAAAGCTGTGGTCTCCATGGAATTCATCTGAAGTATTGGTTTTATGGTTAGTTTGAGACACTGGAAAATAGTTGAATGGCATGATGAGTTAATTAAATCACATAATTGAATAAAATTCTGTTCCTTCTTAATTGTACAAGTAATGCTTCGAGAAGCACTGTATTGTCAGTGATATGAGCATGCATCATTTAAAGGAGATAATTCAATCATTTACCCATTTAATATTTATTTATTTATTTATTTACTTTTGGAAACAAAAATTATCTGTTGACTAATACATTAAAATCCACATGACAAATAAACTTACAGCAATTCATATTTTCATGCATAACTTTGTCAAATATCATTATTTGAACTGTAACAGTAACTTTTGTTTATACATTTTGTAACCTGTGAGTTTTCGTCTTCCATTTCATTGACCAAAGGTTTAATGAAGTAGATATATATATTTTTGTATTTGTTCAGGTGTGGGAGTGATGTCAGCCCTATATATTATATATATATATATATCTCTTCAGATAGTATGGTATGGGAAATAGTCATTTACTGAGTACAGACACTTTAATCTGATTGGTTTGATATCTGTGGCGTCAACTCTAGATAGAAGACATTCTCACTGTCTGTCACTATTTTTACTACTGTGACCCCTCCTGCCACCGTGGTAGTAGAAATTAATGGCTCATAGCAGAAACAGACTGTGGCAAGTAACTGAACACATTTACAAAATGAATTAAATGTGTCTTGAATAATTCCCAATCAAAGTACTGATGTTCTTGATAGGCATTGAAATATTGGAGGTAAACAACACCTTCAATATAATATTGAGTGAAAAAAAATCAGTTACTGTAAGAGTTACTTATTTTAAGTTATTCTTTGTATCTGTCTTGGTATGGTCTCAGTGTACTAAATACTTATTATAAACCTTTTTTATTATTTTGAGAAGTTTAGTCACCTGTTAAGGACATAAAGTTGTGTTCTGTATTTAAGTCAAGCCCTACAATCATGCACTTGAGTCAAATCCCATTGTTGCTCAAGTAGACAATCATTTCTGCCCCCCCCCCCCCCGCCCCTGATGAGGGTGAGTAACAGTCTAGGAAGTGATGATTTAAAGGAACATACATGCAGATAATGTCTTAAATTTGTTAGGGAGATTGGCGATGTTACTGTTGACTTAATTGAATTTTTAGTGGAATATATAATATGCAGACAAGTGAAATGTATAACTATAATGATATAATTTTGTCAGTGTCTGATTTCCGTCTGAAACTGAGAAACATTGGAAGGCAGCCCTGCCATGCCTCCAAATATAAACATAAATTGTGACATTGTTTTTATAAATGTGCATGAGAAGATCACCTCCACGGCTCTACAGTGATTCAGCTTCCAAAAAAAAAGTTTTATTTAATTACCTTACTATATATAAGCAGTCTCTGTTTATATTATCATGTTTCTTACACACAATTGAAACATTTCTTGGTGTCTGTGACTCAATTTTATGGAATAATCCACTAATTTAAAATCAGTGCTCTCTAACTTTCTGGTGCACCCAGTGATTTGTAAGTTACAATACCCACCTCCATCTAGTTTTTTTTTTTTTTTTTTTTCAATTGGAGTCAGAATTAAGTTCCCCTTAAATCAAAAACTAGCCCCAAGTATAACAAGTCCTTACCTGCCCTGCTATATATACATGTATGTGTGCCTGTGCCTTGACATCCACAGACTGTCGCTGCTGTCCTTAGAGATAGATGTTACTGACTCTGTACCTGTTACTGTTTTATCACGTGCTCTAGTTATCAGACCTCTGGCAGTGATAACCAGATTGAACAAGTTTAGGGTCAACGTGGAGCACGTGACAGATAATAATGGATTGGGTCAAATATATATGGGATTTCCATCAGGCAGGATTGTTTGTCTAGGTGATTGGTTTTGTGGGTTGAATATGTTGGAATTTTATTGACCAAGGATCAAGATGGGGGAGTTGGTATAATGATTGGGCCAAATATAGATCCTCTCACTTTATTTTTAGGATTTTATTTATAGTCTAGGATATAATTATCTTTGACTGTAAACAGATTGATTAAGAATTATTTTCAGTTAGCCGGCTAGATTTAATTTTCCATAGCTTTGGTCAGTTATCCGGATATGTATTGACTTTAAGTTATTACAATAAGTGGGTCTTCTTCTTTAATATCTGTTTATATTCCTGTTATAATATTGTAACATTTGATACCTTGACTGAAATGAAATTCCATTCACAGAAAAAGGGAAGAAAAAAAAAAGTATTTGGATGTAAACACGTTTGATATCATGGATATATATTTTTTTTTTTATCTTAGTCATGATTTAAGGATAATATATAATATCCATGTTTGAAAATGTGCCAATTTTAAAGTCATGATGTTTATTTTCAAGTCACTCTGCATATATCCTGCATAGCTACTCATCTTTCCCAATTTAGACTTGTAAATATGACAAAACCTCTCAAGTAAAAGTAGCTGATGTCATTATTTCCTTTCGAAGTGTATTAGAAGACATGCCAGTGTAAGTTACTGGCAATTATGTAGAACTTAATTATTTCATTAGAAACGGTATGCAATGTAGAAACCTTGCAAGTGCAGAGATGGGTCAAGCAATAATTAGAGTAGGAGAAAGATCAACATAAGATATAGAATCCAAGTGCAAGGACATAATTGTCATGAGCAATGATACAAGAAGGAGGTAGGAAATTTTGTTGAGATTAAAAGCTGAATTTTGAGTAAAAATCGTGGATAGGATATTTAAAAATGCATAAATTAAAATTTTTACTTGTGTTTTCCAGGCGAGAGCAGCAGCCTGAGAAGTGCCCTGGCTAAGGAAAGAAGTGCTCACAAACGGCTGTCGCAGTCCTACGAGAAAAACAAGGTGAGTGCTGCTATATTGATTTCAGTGAAAATTGTTTGTGCACAAAAATTGGGTGATATTCTTTTCCTTCTAATAATGGTAATGTGCTGTATTTATTCCTATTTCATGCATCCCATATGAAGTTAATAAGTTTCCCAGGGAATAAAATTTAATGCAAAAATTCAGTGATGATCTATTTTACAACTAAAATTCAGTGATATTCTGTTCTTAATATTGAAAAAATAATGAGCTACATTTTGATTTGATGGATCTCATATAAACTAATCAATATCCCCAATAATAGAAGAAATATATGATTCTGACAAACTGCCCCTAAGGGAAAGTCTTTGAATATTGATGTCAAGATGATTGAACCTAATCTAGACTCATTACTATAAAGTGGTACAGTATATACTTGAGTACAACTGGTGTTTTTTTTAGCTAGAAAAGCTGCTGATGCACACCTTCAAGGCAACTTAGGTTGCCTTCAAATGATTGATATATATTTTTGCACAGCAGAAGTGTTATTCGAGTGAAGGATGTGTTTGTGTGTGTTTATGCACATATAAAAGGTTTAGATCATAGGATGAGAAAAAAACTAGCACTTTAAAGTAGATGTTTTGTCAACTCAATGAAGCCCACTTCTAAAGCACTAAAACTCATCGCACATGCAGGAGTTCCTGTTACAGTGGTAATTACATTACATATAAAGGATTAAACATGGCATTGCCTTTGAGACAAGAATAGTTGATCTCATTAAAAAAAACATAGAGTAAATACCATATAATGGATTCAGCTATATATTGAATACATGCTCAATATATCCCAAAAAGATCAGGAGGTTTTGTATGGGCATTCTTGGTTAAAACTTATTTAAATAATTAAATGTATTCTACATACATATGACCACTGACAATTTGTAACAATAATATTTTTAATTTAATTTTGTACTGTGCCAATTATATCCATTATTAATTGGATTTACTGCTGAAGGACTTAGTCTATCCATGTTGAAGTTGATTGATATTCATTTTGATGGTATTTGTCCCTGAAAGGTCAAGCAGAATTATTCCATTTAATTTGCAAATTTGATCATGCAGCATAAGGTTTATTATTGTTGTTTGGCCATATTATGAGTCTAATTTTAGAAGTTATTTTCTCTTCGTTCTCATGTACAATTTCGCCAAAAATCTGCTTAATATTTTCTATTTAATTTTGTAATTCTTCTAGTGTTTCATAAATAAGCAAATGCAGCCCATTTTTGTTTCAAGCAAGTTGCTAAAACATTTATTCACATTGATTAAAATGAAAATTTCAGCAATAAAAAACATACCACCATATTTGTTCTTTATATAAACATTTAACATTCATCTTTCCTTCTACCAACCCCCCCCCCCCCCATTTTCTTCTTTTTTTTCCTTTCTTTTTGTTTCTTTTTTATTTTATTACCTCATGTATAGAGGACAGTCCATCACCCCTGTCTTCAAGTACTGATTTATCAATGCCATAACTACCCCCTTGCCACCAAGTATTGTAATGACTCAGATGTTTTCAATGGGTAAAAATTATCAAATTTTCAGATACAGAATTTTATGTCTTAATTTATAGAAATTATGGCTTAATAAATACAGAATCTGTAAAATTCACAATTTTCTCCCATTGAAAAGATTGTAATTACTATTTTGCTTATTTATATATAACATTTTACATAAATCCTCTTGAAAGCAGCAGTTCTGGTGCATGCAGATTACATACAAAATGACCTTTAACAGTGATTCCTCTGAAAAAAAAAGTGCAATTTCAAGCACCACTGGTTATAGCTTTGATCGAACAAAATTGCACTTTTCTGCCATATTGTATGATATTACAGGTTCTGTATACTTACAAGCATGAAGCTGAACTAAGAGCCTTGTAATTTATTTATCAGCTGTACAAGAGACATTACTGCTAATGGATATTTACAAGTTTTATTGGATATGCCTCTGGTTTTTACCTATACCAGTTACTTATATAGGAACTTGTTTCTGTTTGTTGTAAGTATTCCTTTTGTAGGCTATCTAAACTGCTGGGACTTTCAAAGGAATAATTAAATGAAGAAACACTTGTAGCAGCCACTTGAAAGAACCCTAATCTGATTTAGACTTTTTGTCATGAGAAGCTAGAAAAGAGCAAAGGAATATGTAGAATACACCAGTGAGCCACTTGAGCAAGAAAGCGCATATGATGCTAACAAAAATGAGCACAAACACCACATCCACCATGTAGTATTCATACGCTGACATTTCCATCAAGTTTGAACGCAGGTGCTTGCCTCCAAACTGAATAACTAGTTCTGTCAGCTCTGCGGCCCTCTCAGTGGGCCTGTCATGCCTCGCTTTGAATATCGTGCCGGCCATCTTGACGTTGTCTTTAAACTTTGGCTCTTTTATCACACGTTTCATGGCAGCAGTGAGATCCTCTGTTTTGAAATGATGGAGATCAATGGTGATGCTCAGACCTTTGTACTGAGAGCGTGCCGCGTTGTAATGCTGCTCATTGGTGATTGGTAGATTTAACATTGGCACGCCATGATACACAGACTCGAACTGCGCATTAGCTCCGCAGTTAGTAACAAAGAGTTTAACATTCGGATGAGCTAGGACGTCATTCAGTGGGAGCCATTTCTCAATCTTGATATTCTTTGGCAAGGGGACCTCTGAGGGTTTCCCACCAAATCCCCACAACACCTTAAGTGGCCTCATATCTTTTAAAGCATTTACCAATTTCTCAGACACCAGGGGCGGTAGGTAACTGGCAACAGCACCAAACGAAACAATGATTACACCTTCTGTAGAATCATCCAAATACTTCTTAAGGGCTGGCGGGCTGATGGTTCTGGGCTGTCTTGTAGTAAGACCCCCCACATAGATGGTGTTGGGCATGCTGGGAAGGTGGTAATCTACGAGATAGTCTGTATTGATGAGCCATGCTTGGGAGTCAATGGCCAGTTTTCGCAGTGTCACAAATGGTTTCATGACAGCGTGTTTGTGGACCAGCGTGTCCTTGAGAGCTGGCGGGTGTGTGAAACTAAGAAGAATGTCGTCTAGGGTGTTCGACAGACGTTGCTGAAAGTTCATCTCCTCTGTGTGACTGGTCCAAACATTAGGGACAAAAGATGGCAGCACTGGTAACCCAGCTACATATGGATCAACAACAGAAGCCAGGGAGACGTAGGGAATATTAAGACGATATGGCAGGATATAAAGAAACCTGGCAGCCATATCTCCCGATACTATCGCAAGGTCAAATTTTTGCTTTAAGATGTTGTCGCTGAATGCTTGGTCATTCAGCATGGCTTCACCCTCTTCCACATACAGAGCTGTTAGCTTATCCATAGTTTTCCACATCTCGTTGGGATTGTAGATGCAGGCAAATGTCAGATGGTTCTGGAATTCCTCCGACTCCCACTTAAGGTGAGGAGCAGACGATGTGTACTTCATGATGCTCATGCCAGTCTTGTTAAAGCCATCTGGGACTTCTTTAGCTGAGCTAAACACTACAGTCACCTTGTGGCCTCTTTGGGCTAATTCCTGTGCTACGGATTTAAAGATGGCTAAGTGAGTCTGAGTTTGTAGAGGCAGCATTAGGATGCGTCCTGTCTTGGCCCCATGAATTGTGGGTAATGAGGCACAGAGGCATCCCAGAATTATGAAGAAAATGTTTTTGTATTCCATTTTAACTTATTTTTGAGTTATTAGAGGACCTGTAAAAAGAAAAGAAAAAAGAGAGTTTGAAAATATGATTCAGTTTTTCTTTTATACAAAAATTAAACTGAAATCACATAAATGGTACACTTTTCAGTCAATACATGTATATGTGAGGAAATATTCATAAATAATCTATAGCTGCTACATGTACTTCACTTGTCCTCCAAATAATTTTAAGACATTTTCTTTTATGTAAAAGTCTAATAAAATGCATTCGTAAGTGTATTTGTTTCACTAAAACAAAAGTAAAATTCTAAACTGTCAGTAAAATTGGGTAACTTCCTTTCTAGACCATATTTTATCACCTAAATCAATGGAACTTTCAATTGAAAGTTATTGATCAGGATAACACCTGTTTTTTTTTTAACTGGAAATGGTTTTTCTTCACTATTTTTATGTTTAAAGTTCTTTTAAGACACCCTTTCCACAAAAGAGAAGTATTATTGCATCCAATTAACATTACTTGAAATTTGCCTTGGAGAAAATGTATAGACATTTATAAGTTACTAGTTCTCTATGGGTATATATTTGATTTTTTAATTGGAGTTTAAATGTTTTTTGGTGTTAAACAATTTTTACTACTCTTCCAGTTTCATGCAGTTGTGATTTTTATGCTAGGAAGGAGTTATTCTTTTTCCTGACAGGCTTTCATTTTACATTCTAAAATTAGGTTTTGTCCTTCATTACACAGTAATTTCTCCAGAGAAATGAGCAAAAAAGCTTTTATAGTTATTAATCCATAATCAACAAAGTCCCTATAGAAGCAAGACTAGTCCAGTTTTCCCCCAGAAAAAGATGAAAAAATTGAGGCACATTTGGAATTCCTTTCTCTCCAGAAATCAGTTTTCCCCTCAACACATTTGCACATGCACACACTTGTGCGTGTGCACGTGCGCACACACACATACACACACACACACACACACACAAGCATACAAACCTCTTTAGGCATCCATTTCACCTAGAGCAGCACCTTCCTTCCTTCCTGAGCTGCTGGAGTGTGCTGTGGTGTACGTTCTCTCTGTCCCAGACACCTTGGATGCCCTTCAAAACAGAACAAGGCAGCTTCTTCCCACTGTGGGATGGAAAAAGGCAGTTCTTTAGGCTGTGTTCAAGAGTTAATAGTTTCTAATGGTACAGGGACCCTATATGAAGTCATGGCATGAATTAAAAAAGAATCAGAAAAGATGGAATGTTTGTTCTGGCACAGTTAGCTGTGTTTAAGCACTAAGGGATTCTATAGATTTCTTTTTTTTTTTTTTTTTTTTTTCAAAATCACAATGCTCACTATTCATCCATGTAAAGATTATATTTTTTCCTCTTTGCCTAATTGTGCACGAAAATGTATGGCTATACTCTGAATTGAGCTCCATCTTTTCTAAGCGAAATGAACATTTAAATGCATGCGTTCCGTTTGCTTGTCTGAGGTGCTTAAATACAAAGAATGTGCAGGAGTGGCGATTTCATTACTTTGAATGGATGTAACATTTCATCACCTTTGAGACAGAAAAAAGGTTGGTCTCAAAGCGATTAGGGGAAGAGAGACAAAGATATCAGCAAAATATCCCATACAAAGGAGTTTTACTCATTACAGTTGAATGAATTGGGTGTGGGTAATGATTTTACAAAAAGGCAGCATAGAAGAGAATAAGGTCTGAATGTACACAAGCTGGATAATTTAGCATAAACATAAGTTTTACAAGCTATTTTGTGGTTTCTCACCTGCCCTCTCGAAATACAGAAGGGGGAAAATAATTGACCTTACTTGATCCTGTGTTTTTCATCAGTTTTTATGTATTTGCAAATATATATTTTTGTCCCGAAAAATATTAATTGCCTTGCCTTGGCCTGAAGGCACTGAGGGAAAGTGGCAGCTACCAAGTTTGGTTCAACAGAACATTTTTACCTTTGCACATTCTGAGAACTAAAAAGGTGAGAGTCAGTGATACATGCCCCATGTGTCAGGGCGGCCTTTTTGGAGAAGGGGGGAGATAAAATAGACAGGGAGGAAAATGAGCCTCAAGAGACTCTTTAGCTTATTGGTTAATAGTTTTTAGTCATTTACCAAGTTTGGTGTATTTTTGGTGAGGATTTGGTTTGGATTTGGAATCTGTTTAGAAGAAGGGCTTTGATACTTTTAGAGTCCAGAATTGATGGAAAGGGCATATAATATAATATATTACCAGCCTTTACTGATTTAGGTGTGTTGAACTATTTTGTGTGATTGGTCATGACTGCTTCATGGGATTTGTTTTGAATGTTTAGAAGTCATTTTTTAATATAAAAATGCTATGCACCCCCCCCCCCCCCCGGCATCAAGTTTTCCTAACTCCTGTATTATAGAAAACATTACATTACACAAGGTTTACTCATAATACAGAGTAAATGCTAATGCCTTTAAATGCCCAGTGTACTTTATGTGAGCCTCGTCCTTTTAATATACATTAAGTCAGTGCAGTTCAACATTTCCTTAACCTTTTCATCAAATTATCCAGGCTAGGGTGAACAACCCCCCCCCCCCCCACACACACACATAAACAAAAAAATGTGATGAAATATATCATTCCTTGGGGGATGTTTGTAGTGCCAACACTCCTAAATGCTTTTGATATGCCGTTTACTGTGTGTGTAAATAAACATCTTAATAAAAATGGGGTTCTGTTGATCATCCTTCTCCAAATAACAGATATTAGCTGTTATATATAATTATACTACATACCTGTACACTATGGAATTAAAAGCCTAGCTCACATCCAGGTAATTTTGTAAGTACTAGGCTTAAAATAAGTCTCTCTGCTTGCAGAAATCACATCTGAAGGTGACCTTACTAATAACTTCTAATTACCTAGATACTTCTTAACAAATGAATATTTGTGGATTTCTTATTCATAAGTTGTTAATTTGTCGGAACCATGTTTAAAATGAACCGAACATCAGTTCAATTTTCTTATCATCTTCAGGGTAGAGTATCAGTGACAAAAATGTGGTCTACTTTTATGATTATTTGGATAACTCAAGTTACTGTTGGTCTAAAATAATTGTCATTTCTTTCATTTTTATAGAATAGAAACATTATTTCTAATACCTAGGTAGGCTAAAATGTTCAAGTCAAGAACAACATGTGGTATAAAGTGCGATTATTTATTTATTTATTTATTTATTTAAATCAGAAACCACTGCATGGATTGACTTATTATATTCTAAGTTAGGCCAATAAGGGAGCGACCTTTTAGTTATTGCATTCTGACTTGATATTTAGCAGCAGGTAGCTTGTTCTTCCAGTTTGCAGTTTTGTAAGGTTTTGTCCTAAATGTCAGACTATATATCACATTCCCTGGCTGCTAATTTGATAACCAGTTTTTCCCTGTCTGTTCATTTGTAATGGACTTGATTTCATGCTCTTGTCACTATTGTATATAGATGTTACCAGTTATGCTGAATCGGATGTAATTGGTTTTTGGCTGTCTGTCTGTGTGTAATTGGCTAGATTTGATGTTTTTGTCAGTTTATATTTTTCATCTCAATTCAATAATATATAGTTGATATACAGCAATTACTCGATCTATTCAAAGGGAGAAAAGTGTAAATTTTTCATAACTGTATTTTTAAGTAATAATTTCTTCAAATTGGAACATACGAATTGTGTGGTGGGTACAAAATTAACAAGCGGGCTACTCTATAATTCTGTTCTATGCAGGAAAAGCACCGCAGTATGCTATATAGATGCTCTACTTTTCAGAATTTTTGATCAAATTGTTTTGAAATTGCAAACAAATACTATAATAATAACTGTGAAAAATATCACTGGAGATACATATAAGTAGTGCCATAAATCTTATATAGTCTTGATATGATCTCAGCTATGTTTGTAAATAGACTTAATAGATCCCAAGTCTGCTGATCAGGCTCAGTATAGGGCGTATTTCCATACAAGCTGGAACAGCTTAACTGAGTATGCACCACAACCTGACATTATACACTTGTCTCATTTGGAGCAGGGGTAAATGGGCGGGGCAATGAGGATTGTGTTTAATCTCTATTGGTGAAAATTGATCACATGCTCCTATGTCAATTATTAATAGAAATTGGTGGGACAACATAGGGATAAGAATGGTTCCTTATGGTTGAAAATTGATGGGACTTCAGAGGGATTAGTTTGGCTTTTTATTTTTAGAAAGTTTAATTAAGTGGTCCTTAGTCCAATTTTAATGTGAATGAGGGAGGCAACAGATGGATTTGTCTGGCCCATTAAAGTTAAAAAATTAATCCTGTTCACTTGGTCTTCATTAAATAATTAATTTAAACAGTTACAAACTAAACTAGAAATGCACCGTAGCATGCCTGTTGATGTATTTTGATTGATACCTGGGCAGGCTGGTTTTAGACATTTTATGTGTTTACCTGTTACTGTGAGAGAGCATTAAGGCACTATGATTTGTGGAGGTAAGGTAATTACTCAATAAATTGAAATGGAATGGGGTAATAACTTTCTCCAAATAGTATAATTGTTAGTTATACTTTAAAGATGATGGCTTGAAAGCATTGAAAAGTTCATGTTTTTCTTATTAATTGTAGGCACATTTTTGGGGGGTTTTGTTGAAAATGATGAATCTTGAGAGGTTGAATATATCCGAAATGATGACGTGTTTGAAAATATAAAGCAATTACAGTATACAGAAAAAGCATGACATTATCACAGCTTGAACACAGTATATACTAACTGAACTGAAGAGAGGTCATATTCAGTTAAATTTGCTGAAATTTGCAGAAATAAATGAATGATCAAGAAAACAGAAACATTTGAAGATAATGTAGCTAGGTATTACAGGTAGTTTTTTATTTATGTATCTAATTATTTATTATTTTTGTTTTACTTTATTTTTTTCAAAGAAAATATTTAGAATATCTTAATTCTGTTCACACATCATTACACAAGCTTTTAAGATAGAGGATGAAAGGTCAATTTCTAATGCTTGAAGCATTTTGTCTTAAAAGGTGAAATTCTAATCTTCATTTAATGTAATATGTGGAACTTTAAGGAAAGTATAATAGTTTACACATTTAACTGACATTTGTCTTTTTAATTCCAGATTAAGCTGGAGCATTATTACCAGATTCTCAGGGAAAACGGTAGGTCTGTTCTTACTAAAATAAATAGTTATTTTTTCTCACAAATTGAAATTCATTAATTAAACATTAATAATAGCCACTGTAAATAATACAGGATGATCTGCCATTTTTGTCCTAAATATGCAGGCTGTTATACCAGCACATATACTGTATGTCATAATTTGTTTTTACATAGGAATGATACTTTCAGATCTAGAAAGTAATACTATAACTTATAGTGAAGGTCCAGTTTATACAAGACCGTTAAATGCAAGATATGTACTAGACAAAGTACTGTACAACATACTTTGAGCAGCAGGATAATATGTGAAGATAATTTCTGAATCAATGAGTAATCAGTGTTGCTTCTTGGCAGGGTTGATTCCCAGGCAGACCAAGGACAGAGGAGGAGGAGATGATGACAGACCAGTAGGAGACACTTTGCCTGTGGATGGTAAGTGAACACCAGAGTGGCGGAATGTTTTTCATTAATGAGTGTCTTGCTTGAGTCATCCAGTAGAATTAGAATCAAGAATGTATATCTAATAAATTCTGGAATTTACATGGAAAAATTCAACAACTAACCTGTCTTTCTCTGACCTTAGTCAGTAAGTGGATGTACTGTTGCAAAACATTTTTATTTCAGATGACACAGACAAGGAGCAGTCATCTTCAGCCAGCACCAAGCCACTGCCCTTGCCAGGTCCAGTAAAACCAGCTATGGGATCATCAGTGGAACTGAAAAACCCTAAGACCAAAAATATTTCAAAAGCTCCTCTTGTACCACCTGTACCTTTACCAGTGCTGCCATCTACCGGAGAGCATGTGGTGCCAGCTATGGCGAAAAAAGACGAGGATGCAGATGATGAAGAGATGGAGTCATTTTTCTTCAGTCTGATGCCTCCAATATCTCCACTTCCTGGATCTCCTTGTGTAATGGTGAGAGCTTTCATGTTTTTAAACAAATGAATTAATATTTTTATGATTTTGATTTACAAACAGAGCAACAGTAATATTTTATAATGTTTATAATCAGAGGGCGCATTTGAAGGTCAATGGTTGGCCCTTGTCCATTTATTTAAGTTGATAAAGAAAATCTCACATAGCTGTGACAAAGCAACAAGTTTTCCATGTAGCATTTTTCACAAAAAAAAAAGAAAAAAAAAACTTCTGAGGTATAGTGTCTGAATTACAACACAATCAGCCCTGCTGGAATGCCTTACATTTCACATGTGGCATATTTTTAAAATTTTGATTTAATATGTGATCCTAGGTATGTTGGTGGAATTACTTAATATGCTTCATATAATAAATATAATGGTTATATTTTGGTTTGGACATTTGAAATAATGAGTCACTAAAACTACAATCAGATACTGTAATGAAGAATATAAAGTATTGTCATATACTGGCTTTGAAATATGATCTGTTGTTTCATTTAAGTTTCATGAGTTATTATGTTATAATAAAGAATTTTCTTTCTCCAGGGTCCAGTGGGTCATATCTCTACTTTAGACTCCAGCTCAGATGATGAGAGTTATGGTGAAGAGAATTGTGATGGAGGCAGCGAGAGTGAATCCTTAGCTGAAATTGCCAGCAAGATAGAAACTGAGTTCAAAGACACTCTGAAAAATTCTCCTTGTCGACCAACCCCACTTCAGTTATCTTCACCACCAAATCACCACCTCCGACGGTCACCTAGGCTACAGTCTCCTCAACAACAGTCTCCTAGGCAACTGTCTCCAAGGAAACCTGGTCCACGTAGACTGGGTAGTTTGGTGAAGTTGCTAGGCAGCAGCATGGAGTCTTCCATTGAAAGTCCAGCAGTAATGAGTAGCAGTGCCCCATTTCCCTTTGCTCATTATACTGAGGGGGAGGTACCTGTTAAGGTAACTGCTTCTCAGAGCCTTGCCACCGAGGAAAAGGTTCTGCAGGAGGATTTGATGGTCTCATCGTCCTCGTCTGATGAGGAGGATGAGATCGAGGATTCTGCCACAGGATGCAAAGTGGACGATGTTCCTCAGAATGAGAATGTTAAAGAGGATGTGGATGTGACAGTGGATGATAAAAGTGCAGTTGCAAAAAGCATGGATACTGATTGTGTTGATAATTCTGTGAAAGAACATTGTGGAAAAGAAACCTCCAAATTTGGTGATGGTGATGAAGAAAGTATTATGAAAAAAGAGTACAGTATTGATAAACATGACAAAATAGGCCCAAGTATGAAAAACACTGAAAAAACAACAGAGAAAATGTTGAATAAAACAATAAATAGACCTCTTTCTTCATCTCCAACAAAAATCCTGAGGACTAAAAGGAAGCACAGCGTAACTGAGGTTGAAAAAGATACCATTAACAAAGTTTCAGCACTCTCAGACTCAGAATCCGATGTTAGTGAACACAGCACATTTTCCCGGACACCAGATGGAAATATTAAAAGAATCACCAGACAGTCCTCAAAGTCTGAAGAAGCGGAAGACATTGATCAGCACACCAGTAGAGGGCGCAGGAGAACAAGAAGTACCTGCAGTAGTAGCAGCAGTGTGGACCTCTTCAAAGAACCTGTGCAACCTGTGAAAAAGGGAAAGTTGTTGCAAAGTGTGGACAAAGAGTCCACATCACCTGTTACACCAACAAGGCGTTGTACAAGATCATCTGAAAGTCATAGTCAAGATGAAGATTCTCTACCAGTTAATAACCCTTCTATAAGACAGACCAGAACAAGGGCAAAATCTGAGAGTGAAAACCCTAACCAGAATTCTTTAATGTCAGATACACCCACTTTGAGTCTTACCGGGTTAGAAACAAGAGTTGAATCCCATGGTAAAGAAACTGTGCCTCGAATTACCACCAGAAAACCTCTTACAAGGTCAGCGAAGGCTTTTGAATCTCAGAGCGATAATGAGGTTATAATGAGGAAAGAAGCAAGGGTAGGAACAAGGAGAATAACTAGGTCAATGAGTGCACCAGAAGATGGTGCTAATACATCTCCATTAAAAGAATTAATTGACGCAAACAGTGTATCGCTCTTTGTAGACAAAAGTGCCAAAGTGTTGGATAGTTTTGGAACTGAAAAGGAGATAATTCCAACATCTGAGAGCAATGTAGCAATGAGGTTGAGGAAAAGACCATTGGTGTCAACTGCAAGTAAGGAAGATGAAGACGTCATACCAAAGCGCAGGTTGAGATCACATGACAAACTCAGCCAATCAGATGATGATCTGAAAAGTTTTAAGGTGGATAAAGATCCATTATTGATGAAACCTCTTAGACATAACACTGACTCTGAAAGTGCAATAGTAAGTAATAACTTGGACAAAAAAGGCCATGGCGATGATAAGAAATTGACAGTTTTGGACAATACTGAAAAGACAGAAAAAGCAATTACATTGAGAAATGGTTCCATGGAGTCTCCAGCTAAGAAGTTGAAAACTCTCCACAGGCAGGCCAGTGTAGGTGATCCAGTTCCAAAATCTGAATCAGCAGAGGTAATGGCTGCAGAAAAGGTATTGGTTTTACATTTTGATAAAACAAGAAGGTTGCTTTTTTATAGACTTTTGTTTCAAAAATATATGATCTATACTTGTTCTCTGATAGAATATTTTTGGTTGACATTTCTATTTGAAAAAAGTCTTCTTTTTGATTATTTGAGGACAAAACATATAAATACAGAAAAATACATTTTAAAGATTTATATTATTTATTTTGATATGCAAAATAAGAAAATATGCCTCTTTATCATATAGGCCACATCTGACCACCAGGGGGCCCCACCAGGCAAGGAAGCAGAATCAGACAAACGGTTTTTATCAGCAGAAAAGACAGACTTAATTTCTGAGGATTTATTGAAGTCTCGTAGAATGACAAGGACACAAATAAAAACCATAGAGAAGACAAAGTCAAGGCACCAAACTGTGAATAGAAGTGAAGGATCTTACTCTATTTTACAAGGTGATGAAGATTCCAACAAACAGTCCATGAGAGATGTTGGTGGTTCACATGATGATGATATATCAAAACCAGAAACTGGATTGAATACCAAAACTACTGATTCAGATCCTAATTCAGAAACTGTTCAAGCTGTTACACTTTCAAGCAGTTTAACTTCTCTCTGCTCCCAGGCTGTTGGCATGGCAAGTTCTGTTATTCAGAAGTTAACCTACGTCCCTTCAACTACTGGCCAGGTCTTTCAACAGCCACCTTCCATAGTTCGGGTCAGTCAGTCCGCAGTGACTGTGGTATCCCCAGAGACCAGCGGTATTCCGGCCACGGGGTCATTGGTGTCCAGTAGGTCCAGCACCCCCAGTGTGGCATCCTCGGTGTCGGTGTCACATATCTCTGCTGGCAGAGACTCTCCAGTGTCACCATTACATGGGTCACCAATTCACATGTCACCCGTGGCAGAGAGAATGTCACCAGTGCAGAGTGACAGGGAGGGGGAGAGGGAGGAGATTTCACCTCTTTCACCACTTCCACCATCTCCTACTCAACAGGGGGAGCCACTGTCCCCACTTCCTTCTTCACCTACAAACAATCCTGTGGATGCACCTCAACTGTCTGCCATGTTGGATCCCCCATCTACAGGTACAGAACCAGAAAGACCAGCGTCAGTATCGAGTCAGGACAATTTGGAGGCTTTCATGCGTTCTTTGAGAGAACCCTTGCTGTCGCCACTCCGCAGTGCACTGACACCGCTCCCGGTGCCGATTTCACCACTGCCACAGACGCCAAAACCACACAGATTGGTGGCAGGGAGGAAAAGCCAGGTGCACAAGTCGCCCTGTAATTTTCACTCTCAGGTCCCCCCTGGGGCTGTACAGGTGAAACCCAAACATCCTGAAACTCTGCCACAGCAGACGTCTAACACAAATGACTCGTGTAGAGATAAAACAAAGATTATTTTAACAGAAATGGGAAGTGGTGCAATGAGCTCCCAGGCAGCAGCTCTGCAGATTTTGAGGAACCAGTCAAAGTCTCAAGAAACTGAACGCTGCAAGGATGCTCTAAGATCAACCAATCAAGGACATGTTCAAGCAAACCGAAAAATGTCTGATTTGAGATCCAGGTTAAAGCAGATGAACAAGGACAGCCATGCTTTCAAACCCCGAGTGCAGCATACGTCTGCCATGTTGGACCCCAAAACTGATATGCCTGGACAATCAGGGTCATCATCTTTTGGAGGTCAAGGTCATGAGTTGAGGTCAAATGGGCCACAAGTGTCTGTAAGTGATAATGCACAGATAGAGGCAGTGGAAGACGGAACAGATTGCTTGGGAAAGAATAAGAGAAAAAAACGTAAGGCAAAGCAAAGGAAAAAGAAAGTAAATGATCTGGCAGCAGGTGATGGGGACAAAGCAGAAGAGATTTCAGTGGAACCTAAGACCACAAAGCCAGAGGCAGGTTCTCAAAAACTTTCTGAACTGCAAGAAAAAGTGGTGCCACATAAACCCAAAGTGCTGCAGAGACACGAAACACAGAAGCAATTAGAAGTAACAGTCCAGGAGTGTTTTACATGCTACCTGAAGATTAAGAAACCCAACAAAAGTAAGTGTTAGAAAATAAGGTTAATTACTGAAAGTCAATGAAGCTGCTGTAAAATGGTCAGTTTGAAAAAAAAGATACAGTGTTATTTGTCAATTTATGCTTCAGAGGTTTTATTTTGAAGATTGGGACAGTAATAGCATGCTTTCTGAACTAGAATCTTGTGCATTGTGCATGTGATACATGGCACTGGAATTGCATTTCAATTGACAAATGCCTTGTTACCCTTACAGCAAAGTGTTCTATATGTTAAGCAAGTTGTCTGATTGCTGGAGTAATATTTTACAATTACTTAATGAATGGTCTCTTTGTATCATCTTAGTTAACCATTAATTTTTTTACAGGAGCAGACATTATCTGTCAGGACATCCTTTCCTCTCTGCGCTCACCACATATTCTGGCAGATGTACTGTTGAAGGCCACACTTACATGGGGGGCTGCCAGTTTTACTGCAAGGGCAATGATTGACAGGTTACTAAAGGTGAGTTTGATGTGGGTCTGGTTCAAGGACATTTTTTTATTATTATTTTCAGTTACTTAATATTTATTTATTTATTTATTTATTTATTTATTTATTATTTTGCGGGGTATTTTTTATATTAAAGTTATGTTTTTATTTTATTTATTTTTATTTTTTGCATGTTATTAATTTCTTATTTATTCATCAAGAACAGTAATTATACACTATACAGAAGTATTTATGTTAACAATCGACTTAATTGTTGCTTTAATGCCACTGTTTTCTTTCTGAATTTGATAAAATTGATGCAAAGATTTTCTTCTTCCTATCTCCAGCTCCTAGAGAAAAAAGAGTCTGACATGACATCCCAGCTTTATGGCCATTGTGTCTTGGGAAGACCTCCAACTGAGCCTGTCTTGGCCACCTATGAACAGAGAACTCTCGAGCTGCTGTCGGTGCTGCATAAAAAAGACAACATGGTTAGTGATCAGCACCATATTTGTATATAGTTCTTTGCACATCACATAGTAAAGCTGTGATAGGATCATACTGTGAACTTCTTCATCACCTTCAAGTTGAGACGTGTCTAATGAACATGTTGCATGATATCCCCATTTTCTCTTTTCCTTTCAGGTCAATTTCAGTTAAAGTTGTTATTTTGATAGTACATAATGTTGCATAATTTGTATTCTGTACTTTGTACTGACATACTTAATATGTAAATTTTAATGATCAAAGTATATGTTGGTTTGGAAGCCCTTATGTTTTGCTTTTTTGTACAGGAAAAATTGACAAAAAATTGATTGTTGGGTCAATCTACTGACTTTGTCACTCTTGTTTCTAATTAACAAAATACCGTCTTCTTTGTGATTAGGAATCTGAATGCCCTGGCATATTTATTCATTTATTTAACAAAAATTCTTCTTGTTGTTCATTTTGCTGTATTTGTTTTATCTCATATATTTACTTACTTTTTTGCTAGGGTAATGTTTCCATATAAAAATACTATTTCATAATTGTAATCATGATGATAATGGTTTTACTTGATTCCAGAATGACCTTCTTGGCCATGTGTCCAGCCTGGTATTGAAGGTGCTAATGTCAAAGAGTGGTCTCAGTCTGTCACAGAGACTAGGGCTAGTGTGAGTACATGGGAACTCTTTCCCTTTTTCTGATAAAAACTGTACAGTCAGCTTGTTATACATGGAAGATTTTCACTTAATTTCTTTTAACTAGTTTTATGATTCACTTATTTTAATTCATTATCACATTCACACAGGATAATGGAATACTTGTCTAGTCAGATAGAGTATTTATTTATTTATTTTTAATTATTTATTTAGTTATTAAATAAAAATGTTTTTAAGATTCACACCTAATTACTGAGCTGTTTTTAACTTCATTCAGTCAATCATGCCTGTTACTTTACAGCCGGGTATACACTGCGCTGTGTCGTATGCAAGGTAATGTGGAGTCTGCCAGAGTCTGGCTGTACTGGTGTATGTATAACAACACCCCAGGGTTCAGTACTGTGGCAGTGACCATGGCTGGAGTTTGGCCACACTTGCTCACCAAGGCAGAGAGAGGTCAGTATATTGCTATATTAATTGTAGATTTTATGTATAATTATACTGACTGTTGTATCACAATACATCACCACTTATGAGGCAGTGACTAGGTTCAAGTTTGCCTGGCCTGCTTATCAAAGGTCCTATATATAGCAGTGTTATGTCATCATATCCCCTATTCCATTTATAAGTCAGAAACACAAACAGTATGATAAAAGTTAGAAGGACATTATTTACAGTATTGCATGAGAAAAATTGAATAATGTATAATTCAGGTTTACAGCATTTTTTCTAACCATTTATTAACCCTTATATTTATTATTTGGCTGGTTTACAAGATCTCCCCATACTTTTATGAAGTCCTTTTGTAATCATACAGTTGAGGCAATTACACAAAATATGTTCAGGTTGTTTTATAAACTTATGAGCCTACTTATGGCTTTCTGGCAGCAGTGTCTGGGTAAATAAATGACAGGTACCCTTTTCTAACATCAGTTTGTAGTATCAGTGTACATACAGTTTTATAATTACATTTCTTGCAAATGATTTTAATCAGTAAATTTGTTAAAACAAAAATAAATGCTGGCTTGCAGTGTCTTTGTTATTTCTCTACTAAAACGGAAATCCATGCTATCATTCATTGAATTTAAATTTTAATTCTTTAGCATCTTTTTGCTGCTCATACATAACCTTTTTGTTTACTGAATAACCTTTAACATAGTTGCAGTTCACTGCAATACAGGCATGTGCACTTTCAGATAGAAGTTGGAATATCAGTGTGGATTTTGTTTAACATTTAACCTTACCCCTAGACACTCTTCCACTACAGTTAAAGTAGTGAGATCTACAACACTTCTCTTATCCTCATTCCATTGCCTATCAGAATTTCCAGAGTGGTTGTCTGTCCAAAAACCACTATGATAATGTGTTGTTCATAGAAACTGTAAATCTTTCTTTTCTATTACCAGTTGCCCGAACATCTCCTTTACTTGTGAATCTATGTCCATCTTACTCCATTTTATTCTTGCCATTCTGACATCTTCATGACAGGTGGGAACATCTCTGAAACTTGTTTTTAGGTGTTCAACTGAATTTGCAGAGAACATCATTTCAACAGCTGTTGGTTTTTTCAACAAGCTGAGATACCTTTGCTTTGTGGTTTTCACTTCATCTTCTCGTTCTCTTAGATTTTTTTGTTCTTGTTCTAGTTTATATAATTCTACAGATTGTATCTTTTGTATTTTATCGCACAACATATCACATCTTCTCTCAACAGACATCTTAATGTTTTCTGCCATTTTGATAACATTTGTTACAACACGGTTAGCCCCAGTCTCCATGTATTTCCTGGTTTTTTGCAATCCAGAGATTTCATTTTGAATATCATGCAGTGCTTCATCTTGTAAATAAGCCATTTTTTGAAAATATTTCCTTTTCTCCAGAGCAGCATCTTCAATGGTCTCAGCATCATGACCTTTGTGTTGTTTTACCACACAGGTACCACATATCAATGTGTTGTCTCTTTTGCAATATAGGTCAAGGGGTTTGTTTGGGTGATGTTCACAAAAGAAAGATTTATCTCCAGCCACATGCAGACTCTTGGCAAAGTCCAACATTTTTCTGGTGGGCACATCTTCTGGAAATTGATCAACACCTCCTTCTGGCACAATAACAGTGGCTCTACACTTGGGACATGAGAATTTGTCCTTTCCATCTGCAATTTTTCCTAGGCAAGAAAGACAAAAATTATGCTTACATGGTAGCCTCCGTGTGCTTATATTTTCATCAAAACAGACTTCACATTTTAAGAATTCCTCCGTGAACTTCTGCTTTATGTTTAAGAGCTGATTAGTTGCCATTATTGAAGTCTGTGCAGTCTCTTGATTTCCTTCTACAAATGTCTTTTATTAAACTCTGGAGCTGTTAAATACCTGGCAGACAGTTATATTTACTATAGCTACTTACAACATGGGATATTCCATTGGAAAGTCCCATCAGGTGAAGACGTCATATTTGACCAATCATAGTCCCTTGTTGGGTTTATTGATAAGCAACTGATTAAACATGTTTGTCAAGTTTAGTATATGGAAAACAAGTGGGGGATCCCCTTTTGCTCATCTATTTGCAAGAAGCATTGATGACACAAACTGAAAATGATATACTGCTGGGCTAAAGAGAACACCTTTATTTGAATAACTGAAAAAAATAGAATTTAATTACTGCCAAATTCCTATGGGATACATATAATAATAATCCATTCCTTTTGGAAGAGCAATTAACAGTGTATATATTTTAAAGCTTTTGATATGCTTTTAATGATGACAAGGTTTCCCTTTTTCCTTCACCCAGGCAGTAGAATCAGTCATTTATAAATTGAAATATTTTTACCCAGTCACTGCTTGTTCTCACCAATGATCATAATATACATATAAATATAAAATAAATCTGATACCATTCTTATTGAATATTGAGTTGAATGCCGAAATCTGTTTGAAAAAGGAGTGTTATTGATCAGTGCATGAGTCAGGCAAACATGAGTGAAGAGATTCAGATGGAAGGAGCCTGTACTAAAAACACATCAAGAGGTCAGGTCGCTTCATTGTACCACCAGCGTTAGCGCTGGCGGTACACATGGTTTCGGTCCCGTCCGGATCGTTCCGCCGGCTCCGCCGGACGGCTACCGTTACCGCTTCTCCTCCTAGACGGTAAGGGCCCCCGTACCCATCTCATGGATTTAGGTCACCTATAATCTCAACTCGTTCCATGTAAAATTTGGGCTTTGTCGGTATTGGGGTCTGGGTGTGGCACTCATTACAATGCACCCTTGTCTAAAAATGGCAAAATTAAATGCTAATTATCTACCCTACGGAAGGAGTTATGGGAAAAATTTCTATAGACGGCTTTCCAAAAGTCATATGTGTAGATTTCAAATATAC